CTTTCAAACTCTATAAGGTTTCACACAGAGATCTGTGTTTTTCTCTTGTTTTTTTTTTAAAAGCTAGTTCTTTGTCCTGTCCTTGCTGCTTTCAACTTTCAAAAGAGCCATTAAATGTGACGCATGGGAAGCCAAACAATCAAATACAAGCAAAGACACGCAACTGAGGGACCACAACAGAAAAACACACTGGATCTTCCATCCAGGCTGCAATCATAGAAGCTGCAGATTGGAGTGGGAAGGGTTGGAGTTATGGAGCTTTATCTAGCAAGGGGATCATATTCATGCACTTGCACACAAACACACTGCTACACTGGATTCACCTACACTTTATTGGACAGATGTACTGTAGGAGCTATATTTAAAGTTACAAACTTTCAAACCATCTTCTACCCTTTGCTGCACACTGGCATATGGAAACAGTGCAGTGTACTGTTGTTTTTATTAGCTTGTTTTTCCCTTATTCCATGAGTACTTCCAGGATTTCTTTCAACAGTTCCTGCTGGCATTTTTTTTTTTAAGTCATGTGCAAAAAATTGCGCAGCCGTGCAAACAATATACATTTAAGAATTGCCAGCAAGGAGGAAACAAGATAAATCCTCGTCATTTTAAAGTACCAAATCGAGTGGCTGGAAAAATAAGAAAATTACTCGAGCTCACCTCATTTCTCAGTCAAATTTGTACCAGGTGAATATTTATACCACTCATTATACAAGAAAAATACATGTGCATATTTTCATGTTATTTTTCTCAATAACCAACAGAGTTACTGGAGTCAGAGCCGTCTCTCCATTTAATGCGATTTTATCACTTGTCATGAACTTCTCAACATGGACCTCAACCACATAGTGGTCATCTGAGCATACACACAAGACTGAGCAGAGAAATAGGATGACATGAGTGGATAGGGGGGTCAGTGGGTGGAATGTCTCATCCGAAGGATCCTGCTTCTGGGGTTTCTCTCTCTATCTCTCTCTCTGGTGTCCACTGCGCAGAGCAGAGTAGACACCATCTGGCCAGCTGGAATTCTACTGAGCAGGGGGTGGAGGAGTTAAGGGGGTGTCCTGTCTTGTAGGGGGATGGGTTATCGCTGATAGATGGAGAATTAACAGTAGTGGTATTAACCAACTCAGCCAACTCAACTCTTGAGTAAAAAACAAAAAAAATAGATGGAAGATTATTATAATTATGATAGAAAAGTTGCAACATGGTCATTTCTAGCTCCAAAAGCAAAAGTTGGTGACGGCAGAAACTCACAAACGATAGGTGACATCATAGGGTCTATGTCCAATTCTTGTAAACATTGGTGTGTTACGCAATATTGCTACTTTTACATGTCAGGCTAGCCGTTTCCCTGTTAGATTGTATGCTAAGCTAACTGTCTGCTAGTTGGATGTTAGATAAAAGGAGATGCATGGATACTTCCATCCAGCTCCTGTCCAGAAATGAATGAGAGTCTAAACCTTTTCTTAAAAAGAGTGCCTACATTTATAGCACTATAGCAGACACATGTTGAACCAGCAGTTAACCAGCATTAAACTCCAAGAGTAAGCCGAACAAGGTTGGTATTATTTACATGCTCTTCGTAAACATTTCCCTTTTGTATAAATCCAAATCAATATTTGCATACCCCTGTCAGCTTCCATTAAAATGTTGCTGTGTTACAACACAATACTAAACATCATCTCTGTATATATATGGTCTACAAGGATAAATCTGTTTGTGCATGTTTTATTAATGGATGTTTAATGGCAACATCTGTCACTCACATGGGCAAGGCAACAAAATCCTGGTTGACATGCATATAAAGGCAGCCAATAAAATCACTCCTTTTGAGCCTAGATTGAAAACACTCTGATTTTATGGGGGTCTAGGTCTTTATTTCGTAGTTGACCGTCTTGTCTGCTGAAATTCTGTTATGACACTGAGCTTAAACAAAGCAAAGTGTAGTATCTGAGAGGCCCTGTGCTTCCCCTGTGCATGGAAACTATAATTTGAGCACAAATCTAATAAAAGCTATAAGTAGAACCATATGTATTTGCTATGCAGATATTAAACCGGTACAAGACCTCATTAACAAATACAGTTGGAGTCTTGGTGAAAAAGCTGGAAGTTGTCCACCCTTAAAGCTGGCTAGGTTTATAAATATGTCTAAGTGAAGATTATCATGTGGGTGAAGAGTAGCACACTACCCTGTGGTTTTCCTATCATTTACATTGTTACATCACTTTTGCTTTGTATAAATATTTGTACTGCAGAACTTCTTGGCTGTGCAGCTGACATCAGTCCCAACTGAGAGCCGTGTAGAGAGGAGAGGTCAGACCTATGAAGAGGGGACAGATGGGGTCGAGTGGGTGCATCCTATGACCGTTTGCCGTTCCACTGTATCATGTCACCTAAATTCAAAGTGAAATGCTAAAAATGAAAATACAGAGTTATGGGTATAATATTCGGCGGGCTATATGAAACAATATCGACTGCAATACATGAACGTTTCCTTCACGAAAACCTCTGGATGTAGGGCTTTTACATAAAGCCATGAGTAACAGAGAAAATAAAACATTGTTTACTCTCCCTTTGCAGGTACAGAAAGAGGACATTCCTCTTCAAATCAATGGAGGAAACCATCCACACATCAAATTGTAAATCCAAATTGGATATAAATGTAAATCTTTGCTACCACACTGAGTCCATTTGACTCCACAAGTGCCCTTATTTGGGTTCATTGCCTTTAAGAGCGTTGTTAAAACCTTAATTACTCGTTTAAATCTACATTACAATCCTAATTTAACTACCATTTAACATTCTTTCAATTACTCATTGAAGATTCACTCTTTGGGAGTTGCATTCTTCACACAACGCACTTCTCAAACCCACACCTTAAGGACTGGGGGCTTGTAGAACAGCAGCAGATAATAAAACATAAGCCCAATGAGAGGCGATTTACTGATCTGAAGCTTTAGGAAGAGGGAAAGTCATCACAGAGGCCAAAAATAACAATAACAAAGCGATGCAGTTAAGTGCCATAGGAAATTCAAGCTAATTTTAAATGAAGATTTCTCTTCCACTCAAGCTTTTTCTTTTTCGTCTAAAACTGCGCCAAAAAGTTACAATCATTAGAGACCAGGCCAAGGCGAAATTCATTCACTAATATTGATAACTTGCAAGAATAAATAAATAACAAGTTTTTGTTTAATGTGAACAAGACATGTCTCGGCAGCAGGATGTCCTCATTTCCAGCACACTCGTCTCTCGCCTGTGTTGAGTAACGAGATCCCTTCAGGAGCAACATGACGACACGAGGCATTCAGGTGAATGATACACTTCACGCACAATTCTGTTCAACAACAATGGAGCGTCTGTCTTTTTGTTTGGGGTCTTTACATGGTCCAAAGAAAGGGGCAGGTAAAGAGCAGAATTATGTGGGTGGAAAGCCACTCACTGTGTGGACTCGCTCTGCTTCAGCTGCTCTGCATAAGCTGGATATGGATCATTTGTGCTTCATCCTATCTCGCAACAGTAATACTAAGCAGCGTGCTCTGTCATTTAAGTGTTGAAGAGGGACACAAACATGTGCTGTCCTGCTCAGTGCCTTGCAGAATGTCTTATCATAGAGTCCATCAATTTTCTTTCGACTTGCACAACATCAGCTGGCTGAGGAAGGTGTGTGCAAAAACCTGTTGTGACACAGGCCTTGCAGTTAGTGGGAAAATTACAGTCTGGCAGGCCGATAATACCATAGCCCTTGGATATGAAGCTTCAATGAATTTTATTATATTCTCCATTTGAAAAAAAACAAAAGCAGCTAAAGGGGAATGACAGCGAAGGAGACATTAGAGAAATCTATCAGGGGCACAATTTTTCCACTTTCTCTCACTTACTTTTGGAGATACAGTTAAAAAAAACGGAACATTGCATCACCTTCTCTACCTAAAATAACATTATTTTCACATTAACACTTAAATTAGCACATGCCGCAAGAGCCAGGCCGAGTTGAAATCATAGGAACATGAGTGCTGAAAGAAAAACACAATGAGTAAACAGAGGCAACACCTTGCAAGAGCACAGTCTCCATTTCCAATGGAAATCAAACAAGCCTCATGCATTGCCAAAGTACACATTACCCAAGCATTTTGCAAGTATTTGCATAGCTGTGGCAGTGTGACACAGATAAAGAAGACTTTGATTCTACAGTGTGCAGAACCAGGCATTATTGCACCCTTTTTTTTAAGTTGTAAAATATGTTTCTAAAGACATCGAGGCTATTACAGCCTTCACACACTTGTTTATCACTTTGTTTTCACAGGTGGTTTGGCAGAAGACAACCTCAAATGCTCTTTCCTCTCTGTCACTCTGTCTCTGAGCTGACTCTGACTTGCTTGTGGAAAGAGGGCAGACAAGCTTGACTCAATTGATCTATGTTGAGTATTTGCAGGGCAAAAAGTAGGACAGTGGGTGAAAAGATAAAACCAGCAGGCTCAGGGGGGGGGGGGTCCTGTCACTTGATATGTTATAGCCTACAGAAACTCATATCATAAATAAATAAAACAGAACTGAAGTGCAGAATCAAGCGTTTACGCTCCTCATGGGATGAGTTTGTGCAAAGGTACAAGCCTTCACAAACAGTGCAAATAAGGAGTAAGGTTGTTTTTTTTTTTTTTAGATACAAGACTCGAGTAAACAGCAGGAGGGCGGCTGGTTTCCTCCAGTGTCGACTTGTCACCGTGAGAACTAGGTTAATAAAAAAGGAAGGAAGCTAAACTGACCTATGCAATGACAGCTGATGAGTGTGTGTATGACAGTGAATCGACACACTGCGAAGAGTAGCGAAATAAGTGACTCTCACAATTGCACGTTTCCTTAAACGCCCATGAACAAGTTTAGTTGGCTAATTCATCCATTTAACACGGTGTAACCGCATAGAAAGTCACACTGCAAAGACATACGTGTGTTAACAAAGTGACAACATGAACTGTGAATTCACAGCGTGCATAACTTACCTGCAATTCTTTATGGAGGCCTGAACCAGCGTCTGAAAACACAAAAAATCCACGGAAGTACGCGTACTACAGCTGTTCAAACAAATACAACGACAAAAAAAACAGATGTTTGAACAGCAACTTAGCATGCCGTGATGTTCTGTAAATTTCCTGGTAACATTTAACCGCAGCACGTCACAGACTGACGTTCAGCCGACACGAGCGCGACCTCGGTGAAAATGATAGAAACAAGTAGACATGAATTAACACTTGTCTTCTTTCGAGAAAAAAAAAGTCTATATTTCTTTTCTCACGCTCCACCAAAACTACAGAGGGACACGACTCTCTCCTGCCCATGCAGCAGAGTGCAGAGACGGAGGCAGGCACTGAGAACTGCTGCTGCTGCCGCTGCCGCTAGCAGATCCAACAACTTCAAACTTAAAATGCCTTCTCGCTTCTGATTGGTCCACACTCAGCGTGATGCTGCGTTCACGTGCCCACTGTGAGATCCCGTTTCTCTGACGGTGGTGGGGTGTTTTTCGAAAGAAAAAAAGAATAGTGGCCATTTACATTCCTAATAGTACTTTTGGGGTAATCGTATATACTCATATATAGTCTGAAATTTCATATTTCCACCCACATCTCAATTGGATACTATGTTAAGTGTGGTAGCGAATTGTACTTTGTTTTACACTGGAGTTACCTGAAGACTTTATACCATAGACTGTTAATACAGGTAAGAACCCGACAAGATATCAATCAGTATCTGACGTCTTACAGATATGTTGTAAGTGGCAAATGTATTTTCTAATGTATATGTGATTCTTACATTTTCAATTTGTCAGCAAAATCATTTTAAAATGTGACACAGGAAAGATTGATTTCATTCAGTTTTAAAAATTCATGTGGCTTCTATTGGCAATCGTTTGAATAATTATTTTTTTTTTCCTTCTTTCAAAAAAGCAGCTTAATTTTCAGTACCAGTATCAGTCTAAAAAAAGACATAGCCTTTTGGTTTGGTTGGACTCTTGATAATAAAAATTGCAGGCAGAACAAACGCTTTGTAATACACTGGAATGACATTTTTAATTTGGTAGCCTACAGATTTCTTAAAAAATAATGCAGGGGGATTATTATTATTATTATTATTTCAGGGGGCTTTTAACTTGAAACAAATATTGATTAGATAATACAAATAATGCATGCATCAGTCCGACTTTATTTTACAACTGTTAAGGGCTCTCAACAACACGCAGATTTAAGACACTAGACAGGATTAGTAGTTCGATTTTGCAGAAGCAACGTGCAGGAAATGTGATTTGTGAAAATCCCTGGGTCATTGTACCAAACTTTTCTTTCTTTCACTTTTCAGAAAACTGTGACTGCGTGTATTTTTTCAACACTCATGAAGGCATCATCTCTTACATATCGCCTACAACAATAATATTGTGGGTGTCCACAATAAAAAAGCACAGCTTAATGTCAAGACTAGAGTGCCCCCTGCTGGTCATGCATTGAAAATATAATGTACCGTCTGGTTTAATACATAAATCCATGTCAGTAGTATAATTGTAATCGATGTACGTTGTGTAGTCTTAAACCAATGAAAAAAAAATGTATCTTATTGCTGCAATATAATCTTCTCCTAATTAAGAAAAGGCAGATTCAGTCGATTATAAGCAGATGAGTATGAAAATAAATTATTATCAGCAGTCATTTTCTCCTCTTAAGGTTAAAGAGGCTGGATGATAGGTTCTTTTTAACATTGAGTATGAACAACACAGAGTATGAGTTATTGTTTTTAATTTAATTATGAATAAATTAAGCTGGTAAATCATCCATAAAGGAATCTGATCATGATCATACTTTATTTAGAAAATCATGTCTAGATGAAATTTAACGTGGTGAGTTTGTGTGTTTGTGTGTGCTCGGTAATGTGTGCAGGTGCAAATGATTAATGATTTTGTCCTGTTATCCAATTTGTGTATCGGTTGCTCAATTATTAAGTGTTTTGTCACTTGAGGTTATGTGAAGTCAATAGTCTGATAAAATAACAAGAGAGTAACAAAACACACACAGACACAAACAGACGAACAGACACACACACACACACACACACACACACACACACACACACACACACACACACACACACACACACACACACACACACACACACACACACATTTCCGGAATTGCTTAATTTTGTAATTTTGTTACTTAATTCTCCATCATGTCAGAAACAATCTATTTGTGGCTCGGTAAATAACTGACATGCTGGTGATGAATTTATTCACAAATAGAATGATGTCTTTATTTCTTTGTGTTTGTGTTTTCTACAGTTTGTTTTCCTTTAAAACACAAATCCTTCCTGGTGTTGCAGTTTGAGTTCCTGCCAGTCGCTCTTGTCCTTTCCTCTTCAGCCCACTCTCTTCTTCCAGTGGAACGCTAGTTTGGCAACAGCAAACCCACCTATAAAACATGCACCCAATACAATTAATTTGTTGTTATTACACAGACTACTAGGGTTTGCTGCATATGTCAGAAAGATATTTTAGGTGCGATGACATCATTCCTGCTGATTGTACAGTAAAACAGACGTGATCAATATCATGAAGGAATGTTAAACCATGAATTTCAGATTGTCTGTTGATCATCATCCTTCGTATATTTTGACTTTGAAGAAAATGGATTGTATTCTTAAGGAGGTACATTTTTTTTTTTTTTTAAGTATTTTATAAAGATTTTAAATACATTTCCCTCCTTGTAGCATGTAAATGTTTAACTCAGTGTTTGTGATAGAGTTTTACAATGTGAAGTGTGTTGTAAACGTAGAAAAACAAACTTATTATAGCCCCTGAAAGGTATCATGATTGCATTCGGAGACATATACACAATAGCTTCAATCTTCCTCCTTCCAAAAAGCAAACATCAAGCCCAGGAGGAAGATGCACATAGTGACAGTGATGTGACACAAGTGAAGTAGAACAGTTTCCAGTACCTTGTCTGGGCTCACATTAGGACACTTCCAGTTGTATAGGTAGTAATAAAGGCTCGAGTCATGGACGCTGAACTTAAGCTTCTCCAGGAAACTCTTGTTATCCATCACGTCCAGAGCAGAGAAGATGTCGAATCCTTTCTGTCAGTGTGGACAAAGAGCATTTTTTGTTATATTACCCATTAAAACACTTAAACACACATAAACATAACATTGATGCTTAGAATAACAGGAACATCTTTACTAATATGTCATTTAAGTACATATGTTATTTAACTGCAAGTGTATGGATAAAATTTGAAGTAGATTCCCTCAAGTCATATCTTAGAAATGAAACAAAAACATAGTATACCAGGGGAAAAAATGTGTATAAATGCTAATAAACCAGTGTCAATTGGTTAGTTTTAATAGGTTAAACTATTTACTGTCAAAGAGCCTACGGACATGTTAAAACTAGAGCTTACAGATTAAATAAAAGTAAATTTGTCTGATATATAAAAAAGATTTAAGAAACATTTCGTAGGATGTAAGAGACATTAGCATAATATGCATAATTTAGCATCCAAAGCTTTTACTTGAGTATAATCTGAATCTAATTGCAGGTTTCCAGGTGATGTTTTATGGTTAGAGTCTTTAAATAAATAAGTCACTCACAGATTTGGCCAGCACCAGTGTGTCCTCCAGTAGAAGGCCTGGGTCAGTGGCAGTCGTGGCAACATAAAGGAGAACCGCTGCTTTCAGGCCAGTGTGGACCGGGTGATTCAAGACTTTGTAGGAGGTGCTGTGAAAACTCACCATGTCTGTCAGTGTGCCATCATCACCCTGTGTTTTGAGGGGAGGTGTGATGAAAAAAAAAGTATTGGAAAATTGCGTGGAACACTCTTAAATCTGTAAAGATAGGGAAACACAGGCTGATAAAAAGTGTAAGGTCAGACCTCCACCACATATGTGTCAATCACATCCTTCCTCGGCAACAGCCAGTGCTCTACTTCCTCTGAAGACAACATGGGCCTGAGGTGAAACTTGCAGAGGTGTGACTGGAGAAGTGAGCGTATCCCCACAACATCTTTTTTAGTCATTGGGCGCAGGCCAGGTGTCTTTGTCACCTTGGAGAAATCAGAGGAAAGATATATAAGGACAGGGGGGAAATGTATCTTTAATTATTTTAAACTAATATTAAAATTTTAACATAATTAGTCCACAGATGTGAACAGTTCCAGCCTCCACTATCCCGAACGGGTCAAGCGTTATATATAATGTATGTGTATTTAAAGTCTAACATCTTAGTCTATTCTGTGATATCAGACCCATGTCAGGCTATAAATGCACTACTTACTTTCACCTCTAGGTGGCAGCAGAAACTAACCTCAGGCAGTCGGAGGAATTTGAGAGCTCTCTGCAGGTTCATGTTCTGTCTCAGACCTGGGTAACCCACATCATTCAGCTTTCGGGGATTCAGAGGGCGATGCCAGGGACTGTACGGGCAGAATGTTTCAGAAAATAAGTACCAAAAATGCTATGTTTAGGGTAATTGAAGTTATTTTCTAGCCACTATTGTTAAGAGGAAAATCATTGGTATTATAACAAAAGTTTAAATCCATAACCAGCTAAATGAACTTTCATGTTTTATCTAAATTCCTTATTGCGTTTAAGATTCAACATCCTGTTTTCAAAGCTAAAGTAACTTTAAATATTCACGACTGAATAAGCAACAATCACAGTCAAAGAGTTCAGAGAGAGAAAAAACAGTTATGAATTATTAATGAAGGATTTAAAAAAATTATGTTGAAGTTTTCTAGTTGAATACATTTTGTAAAGAAGAAGAATACAACATACTTTATTAATACCCAAGGGGAAAATCAGAGTTTTCACTCTGGTATTAAACACGCATACACACAAATAGGACATGCACAAACAGCATCCTATGGACATGCACGTAATTGTGAGGGGAATGCACATGGATGCATGAAACAAGCAGTCAAGCTTTGGTGTTTTCCTCAAGGTCACCTTGGCAGTGTTCAGGACGTTAACTGGCGTTTCTCCAGAAACCAAACTTAATTTCCATAATTTGGTCTGTATGGGGGACTCCAACTGTTAACTCTCTGGTTCCAAACCTAAGTCCTTACAGACTGGGCTACTGCCACCCCGAAGTTGCTGTCTTTGCTGAGTTATTTAACACAACAGTGATTGAGACAATGACCTACAGAGGCCTTTACATTTGCAGTACTCTTAGAGAGGCAACCAGACTGACTGGTCTGAAGCGTTGTACAGTTAACAGGTCAGTGCTGAGTCAAACAGTTGCTATGGCTAAACAATGGAAATGGAAAATAATGTATTCAGATGAAGATGAAAACGCAAATACTAACAGCAAAGAGTTTAAATCTTTAACAACTATGAAGCACAAAAAAAAGACCTAGATCTATAAGATTGCTTCTTTAACACTCTAAAACTATAAGCTGGTTTGGTCAAATTTCATTGGAAGCTGTCTTACAGCACAAGCCAGCTACCCAACAGCCGTTATTGGAAATTGATAAAAGTGTTAAATGTGGACCAGAGTTCAGAGAAAAACAATATATCCATGAAAAATGACAAAAATTCTTGTGAAGGACAGTAATCTCTTTGGTTCAAATCAAAACATACTATTCATCTTCAAAAGCTTATTGAAAAATACATTTCATTCACTCTTTTCAAAGTTGAGATTTTTTGCCCCACTTCACTTTTTACTTCAAGTGGGATTCAACACTGTGTTGCAGCTACTACCTGCAGGAGCTCAGCGGTGTAGGCAGAACAACACTAGCTGTGTAGACCGCCTGGTAGATTCCCTGCTGGTTGACCCGTCTGGTGAGCTCTCGGATCAGAACGGGAGTCATCCGCTTGAGGCGCAGCTTCTTGTGAACACACAGGAATTTGACCTGCACCATCCGCTTCTCCCTGCAGAGCACATTTATTAGCATTTTCTTTGGGACTTTGCAGAAAAATTGCTACATTTTTTTTTTTTTTTGCAGAAAATTGTCTAAAAAAACTCACATTCATGTAAACTCATATCTTTATATTTATGAGATACTCACGTCTCAAAAATGCAGACTTCTGAAGGAACCGCAGCGATGAAGCCGACCAACTTGTTATTGGTCTCTACTCGCACACCACAGTGCCACTGAGCCACCCAGTTAGGAGGTTGTAAAGCCCTTTAGAGGAAAAAAAAGGACATAGCTTGCAATGTCACTCTGCAAAGGAATGAATAGGGGTAGTTCAGTAAACTCTGATTTAAAATAATTTCCTAGAAAAGGATTGAGCACGAGGTGACTAGGCTGAATGAATAGCCACAGCAGTTTTCATGGAGCTCAGAGCCAGAGGCCTTTACCTTTTCATAGAAATATTTCTTAGCAATATTAAAAGTATATGCTTAAGTGTAAATGTAATTCTGTTTATATTAGTGTTCACTGAAGGTGGAGGTAAACAACATTTTAGTAGACCACAAAAAAAACATTCAGTAGAAGAAAATGAATAAGCAAGTTTGTAACTGAAAGAAATAATTAGTTTTTTATAAAGGTGTTGATGTGTGAAAGTGACAATAAAGGATATGTGTATATCTATCTTTATACTAAACCCCTGCTTCAAGCAGTGCATGGGAAAACAGTCTACATTGCCTTAAGATGGAGGAAAAAAAGGTTTTAAAATGATTATTTTCTAAACTCCATAAACAAGGATTGTTCGATTGCTACTGCTGGTCACTTACCACTCCAGATACTCTGGAGAGAAGTCAGATTTGATAGTGTTGTCGTCATCCTCCATGTAGTTATCATTCAGTAGACTGCAAAGCTCTCTCAACTAAAAAAAAAAGATTTGAAGATTTCTGATTCCTGATTTTTTCTGCACTTCATGCTAAGAATTCACAATTTTCACTCCCTCTGTCCCCCCCCACACCCCCCATGGATACTCTGTGGCAGATGGGTGTGACCTTGCAGTATGTAACTTACCACTTTGGGACTGCTGAGGTCCAGTGTGTCCCAGGAGAAACCCTGTGGTAGAGAAAAAGGTTCCTGACGGACACTGGCTACGTCCTCCACTATTGGGCCATGAGTTTCATTACTTTCACCTAAGGACACAAGTGTAGAATAAAAATATTTCTAGGTGATTTTCTCTGTTAGATCGGAAATTTTATATTTACCAACAAACTGTATTTTCTGTCTGTGAAAAAAGAAAAAAAGGATAAGCATAATAAAATGGAAAAATAAAACAGCTAGACTATATCTGTCCACAGATACCAAAGCAGCTTCTTAAGCTCATTTTAATGTTATGTCTTGTTTGTTGGTCAGACTACAGTTAAAAATGACAGTTTGATATTTTTGGATCTGAAGAAGAAGCTTAACCAATATATTAGCTTAAATAAAAGAAACTGAGAAACTGGTTTACGGCTAACTCTGTCAACACCAACAAAATTGGCTTAATAAAGCTTTGTGTTTTTAACACTTCCTTTCTCTTTTTATACCTCTTTATACCTCAAAGTTTAAAAATGCAGGAACTTTTTAAATTCCTGGAGTCCCTGATGGTTGTCTGGCAACTGCTCAGAGCCAAGTGATGGTCATTTGGTCCACAAACTAATGTTAAGATAAAGATCTGATGGTTGTGGTCTTATATGTAGCTTACTTTTTCCTGTAGAAAGAAAAAAATACTCTAATATCAAACTCTTAAATTAAGTAAGTTTGATCCAGTGCTTTGTTTCTACAGATTTTTGGCTGTTAATCAATTAGTCAATGTTACTTCTTACCCAGTCTTGGGACAGGCTGTGTGTCCCAGAAGCTGTATGTTCTTTTTTTGGCCTGCTGCAGGGTTTTTGGCAGATTTGAGCCCATTGAGAAGAGGTGGAGAGCTCTCTGGATCTCTTGTTGCTTTTTCTCGGGAAGAGCATCCAGCTTTTAGCGAAGACAAGACAGGCAAGGATAAGTTGCGAAAATCTTTCGAGGATATTGAGGTTTGACCATTACAGAGTGCTCACACCTCTGTTACACTTATGAACTATTGAAAGCTTTAAAGTCCTAAAACTGTTACAGGGTGTGACACATGACCACAAGACAGAAAGCATGATATTATCTTTGCAACATCTAAAATCATATTTATTTTTAAGACCAACAACATGTTCACACATCAACAAATACACAGAAATTGGTCAAGAATAACTCATGCTGTTGCACACAGATGTAGTTTAAACCCAAGTTGTAGGAAATCAAACTCTTAAGGCTACAGATGGGAAATGCCATGCTGGCATAGGAACACTCTCTTGATCTGAAGGCGCAGTCATATCACCACACCACTGGCCAGCCCTGAGCTTCTCACGTGTTTTTACACTTAACCTAACATACTGAAATTTGAAAAGTGATATCGAGATTCAGTGGGCGACAGCCAGAACACTAAACTCACCCAGGGAAAGGCCCTGCCTGGGATTTGAACCCTGAACTTCTTGCTTTGGTTGTTTTTTAAAATATTTGTATTGTTTTAATCCGTCCCGTGAATTTATAATGTTTTTTTTTATCTTAATCACAGAGATTTTTTTTTAGTAATGCACAATGTCACTTAAAAATCGAGGCATGAGGAATGTACTGTTAAAGGAAAGACTAATATCCCACTTTAAGAAATGTTCTTAGGGTCCTCTTTTTGGTCAAAATGGTTTCTTTTTTTGTTAGATTCTTGAATGAAAAGATCTACTGCCATTAATGAATAACTTGCAATAAATAGCACTTAATCAGATTCAGCTTGTGTTGACCTTAAAATTTGAATAATTTCCCTTAGTATTTTGTTTACTTTCTTTCTTTTAACACTGAAAATCATAGAGGACCATCAGATACATTGTGTTTCTAAGTGTTGCCTTTAAAAAAAAAACTGCTCAGGGCCCTTTCCTCCATTCAGGCCATGGGTCCCACTTTTCCCCCCAATATGAAGCCCATGAAGAGTAGCATAAATCCTATTAAATTGTACATTAGAAACTGGTACTTTAAACAAATAAATGTGCTGTTAATGTATTATATGAATATTAGAGACAAATGTATGAGTTTCACTTTGTTTCAAGTACATGTACCATAGCAAAAGGGTCCCTTGGTCCCTCTTGCCGCCAGGAATCTTCCTTCTTGTTCTTTTTTCTGTTCCTTTTATGGCCACCATCCCCTTCTTCTGTTAGCTCCTTAACACTGAAAGACATTTTCATGCACTGATCTTCATGTATATTGCACTGAATAATTTTGACCATCTTAAAAGAAAAGAAAACTTTGAATTCTGTCATACTTACAGCGAGTTTGACTCAGTCATTGGTAGTAAGTGTGCGTCCTTGAAGCCGAGGGTGAATTGGGGTGTTTTTCTGACACATTTGTGGTTTTTCAGCTCTTATCTCAGCGAGCAGCGAGGGGAGGAGAGTGACCGCCTCAGTAACCCAAACCAACTCCCACCCAGCCGTTAGATAACTCAGAGCAATTCTAACAATTAAATATAACTTCTCACGGCCTCCATATGTCAGACAGCTGCTGAATAGAGAGCACTGCGGCAGATTAAAGCTTATAACAGCTTGATCCATGGGGTGTGTTTAATTGGTTGAAGTTGTCTAATTGCACAGTTCGCATATAGGCCTCCATAAAACTTAGAGCTTTGACGAGAGTTGTTTTATCTTTTGTGGGCAAATCATTGTCTAAAAGTACGGTTAAGTTGTTGAGGATTATTCCATACAAAATAACAAGTGACCTTTTTTATTCATCGTATCACAACATACTAGTATAGCATTAGATTGAAATAAAATATAGCCTATACTAAAAGATATTTTCCATATTTTAACAACAGACGATAAACAGGCATTATCTCTGGAATGTCTTCTAAACAGAAAAAAAAATAAGACTTGGCCCCTTAAATGAAAAAAATCTCCATTTACATTCCATCAGCAAATGTTTACAGCTTTAGAGGTAGGACATAAAACAAAAATCTGAAAAGAGGCTATTTTTTAAATTTTTATTTAACCTTTATTTAACCAGATAAATAAGCCATTGAGATCAGGATGTCTTTCACAAGGGTGACCTGGCCAAGAGGGCAGCAGCGCACGTCATGAAAAGCATTACATGATAAAGAGACAGTTTACAATGTGCAAATTGATTTACAGTGCAGTGCAGATTCTTGATCACGGATTACAATTCAGAAACACAGGCACTGTCCAATTGTCTCACGTATTTTATCTTTTAAGATCGAGCCAAAGGCTTCAAGCGAACTACGATACCTGGGAAGTGGCTGAATGCTGAGTGAACGTTTGGGCTTTTTTGGTTTTAGTCAAAGCTGCAAACCAGCCATTGTGTCTATCAATGAAAAAAGTTATAATTTAGAATAGACTTCTTATAACTATGGAATGTCTTGCATCATATCATGCCTTGTTGTCGTTGTTGTGAGTCATTTCTAACTCACTCCTGCCCATTGCACCTAAACTGTGTCTGTGTAACCATTTTCTTCAATAAATGGTGTAATCTTCTTTGATCTGAGGATTTAGCTAAATTGTACAAAATGCTGCTCACATCATTTTTCATGCAGAAAGTGAGGCCTGGAGCTATTTTTTGTTTCTACTTTATGATTATACAGTGGATTTCTCCTCTCACTGAGAGCTGAATACCTATTGGATACGGATGCTGCTAACAGCTGTCACCTTTCAGGGTGAAGTAGTAAAAAAAAAAAAAAGAGTGCTGAGTTATAAGTACTTGACTACGTCCTTAAACAACTGATGTGACAACAACATGGCAGAGCGCAAGTCTGGGCAAAACAAATATCTTTTACAGCAGAAGTCAGAAAGAAACGTATTAAATAGTATAACTGTAGGCTTTTTTAAATACCTAATCTGTGATCGTATAAAGACTAAAAGTGATGCCTAAATCTGTATTAGGTGCTGCTTGAGTAAACTGACAGTTGGTTACATGGTAGACACATGTAACTGCCTAAGGCCTGTGTCAGCTCCAGCTAGTTGTCTGCACCTAGCTTGATCGAAAATTAGGTTGAGTTAGCTTTCCAACATGTCCCATCCCATCATCAACACTCTTGTTCGATGAGAAGTGTGTTTAAAATAGCCTTCTTTTAGAGGAGGAAGTCCACTATTGGTGCGATTCGTCCTCCCACAGACCTGTCACCCTGACAAACTGCCTACCTAAACATCTGTCGGCTCATTTGAGGCTAAGCTAAAGACATACAATTTCAATGGATATATAAAACATTCCTTGTCATGTTAGGGTATCTTACTTTTACTTCTTTTGATCAGCTGGAACATGTAATGAAAGCCAAACTTTTGGCTCAACTACTGCAATCATGAAACTTTTTTCATTATGACCCATTAAACCACAACTCTCAGTTAATAGCTCAGGGTTACATTTATCAAATTTATTCTGCCTGTGGAATCAGAGCAAGCTTCTCTTTCTGGGTCCTAATCAACATCTTTTCATCATAGAGCAGGACTTTGATGTTGCCAAAGCCTCAGAAAATGAAAATGGGTCTGTTCTGATTAAGAATCTTTCCTCTTAAATCATTCAATCGCAGGACCCTATTTGTTGATTTTATTTGGCCGTGTTGTCTGCCTTGATGAGTTCACCTTGAGCTGATTGCTCCTGGCTCTCTCGCCGTGCCAGATTTTTGAGTCAGAAGAGGTCTTATGTTCAATATAGAAGCTGGCCAGCTGTGTTATTGGTGACTTGTCATTTCCCGTCTGCCTTTGTCCATCTTACATTTAGGTCGGGTAGCTGGCATTATGGGGAAAAGTGACAGTAACAGTCATTGGACAGGATTCACTGTCTCGTTCAAGGACGTGGGAGATCGCTCTCAGAGAAAATGGCTGTTCTGGGAGATCGAGACATTGACTTTACAATTACAACTGTTACATCTACAACCACTGACAACCTCCATCTCACCTTTCCTGGATGTCTGCCTTCCTACCTCTCTCTCTCTCTGACTCATTCTCTTGTTTTATATTCCTGCAAAAGAAAGACACAGAAAAGGCAACAGACACATTAAACTGTCCTTGGCAAACTGGCACACTGGGCCAAAACTGAAGGGAAAAACTCTTGATAAACTGGACCATCTCTCAAATGAAGAAAGTAATGGCTTTATCACCTGTAACTTCTCTTGAAATGTTAATAACTTTCAACTGTAGTCGCTGGACAGGTGAGTGACAGAACAATAAACACACAAGGTACATTAAGGTACATTTCAACTACAGTTGAAAATGAGCTATGATGGCTAATCTGGCACATTGCTTTGCCCCAATAAGTTTACATTTGATAAATAAATACAAATAAATAAATTAAACTATTTATTTCTCTGCAAGTTAATGATTCTTTGTTACAAGAAAGACTCGTGATCTGTCATTTCCAGTCCTCCGGCTCTACATCTCTGAATCTTTATTATAAAATCATTACCAAGAATCCTGCCTCAATACATCAAAGTGTAACAGAGGTTCATGCTGTTTGTGCAGGATAGTGATGGTGCTTTTTCTACATCTAAAGTCGTGTCAGGTTGTAAACAAGACACCTTGAGTTAGCTCAGTTTTGTTTATAAACTATTTTGACACCTTTGAGCTAAGATACCTTTATTTTCATTACAAACAAGTACAGTATGTCTTTTATGATAATAGCGGTGCTGTTTTGCTTGTTCCTTAGAGTAGGTGCTCCATGTACAGAGGCTACAGTCGTACTCACACTGGTCACAGGTTCCCCTCTCGATCCTGTCGCTATTTGGTCTCATTTTGTATTCGTTTTTTTTTGTTTTGTTCAGTTTTTCTGCTTGAAACACCGGCAAGAAACTCCAATTAAACTTTCCATCTGCAATAAAAAAACAAAATTGTGTCACCTTAAATTACAATAACTAATCGCCCATCATGTATGTGCAGTGTTGAACTCCATATCCTACTCGGGTTATATCCCGAGCCGAAAAACAAATCATCTTTTTGGATTTTGTCCATGATGGATTCCAAAAATGATCAGTCACTTTCATTATTGCAGCAGCCAAACTAATTCTGAGCTTTAAGTGAACCTCCATATGCTGGCTTGGATACCTGCCAAAGTGGGCGCGAGAAGAAGACCAATCTACAGAACCACATTCAAAATTGAGTCCATATTATTGGCAGTGTGCTCGTATTACTTTCCTGCTCTGATTGTGTGCAACGTAGCTTGTGTGGGAGTTGTAAAGGAAACAGAAACAGACACTTACTTCAAACAACATCTCTATACAGACTATGACTGTCAACAATATCCTCTTTTGTGTGTGTTTTTTTTCTCCCAGTTTCTCGTCCCTGTCGCATCGTTTTACCTGCATTTATGAGTCTTTGTTCTCTGTAAATAACTTTCTAAATACATTTGCCTGACCCAAATACCTCCAGGATAATTAAGTGACCTATTTTAATCAGCTAGTAGCTGAATCTAGAATTCATCTGGTGCTTTAAATATGAGGAAAAGTTAAGGATTGGAGGGGGGGACAAATCTCACTTGGCTGCAGCAGCCTCAGGGTCAGACAGAAATCTGGTTCAGGATTCAGTTTGGCTCCATTGGGGACACTATTTCAGCCAAATTTCATCATAAAGCATCATGATAGAAGATGCAATATGTACACAACTCTTTACTCCTTATTCCCTTCTTTGCTTTGGTTTCAGGAATAGGATCATCCACATGAGTTATTTTCTTTCAATAGTTACAGTAATTTTTTCAATCTATCCATTATCCATACCGCTTTTTCCTGTTCAGGCTCACGGGGGGTTGTAGTTGATCCCAGCTGTCATTGGGCGAGAGGCAGGGTACACCCTGGACTGTTCGCCAGTAAATCACAGAGACACACAGAGTGGCCCTGTCTGTCAGGGATTCAAACCAGGAACCTCCTCTCTGTGAGGGCAACCTTCTTTCAATCTATGACACTAAAATCCGTTATAACACCAATTTTAGTCCATTTCAGGTAAGAAACAAAGCACGATACAAGCCTTCTGTTCCCAGGTGTTAAAACTGTTTAATCTGGATTAAAAGCTGGTAAGGATCGGTTCATCTATTTTTCAAATCTGTGTTGGATCAAGCAGATCAAGAAACATGTCTTTAAAAATGACCAAATGTTTATTATCTGTGTTCTAATGGCACAAAATGTCTCAATCTAGGCTTTGAGACATGTGAAGAGCAAATAATATGCATGGGTCCTGGTCCTCTCATATGCAATAAGGAGAACAACTGTTAGAAACTTCTTTTGATTGTTGTAAGTTGTAAATTAATTTAAAAAAAATAAAAAAATGGAATGGATTTTTTTTTTTGCATTGACAGCTGTTTGGAGGATTATTTATGAGGACGATTTTAAAATGCTTATCATTAC